CCTCTTGGCGCTCCCATTGCCGCGATCCGATCGAGCCTGCCTTTGTCGCCGCCATTGCCATCATTTCTGCCTCGCTTCCCATCGCCTTCGCCACCCCGCGCGCCATGGTCGGCGCCGCTGGGCGCCCCGCGGCCGTCGCGCCTGCCCAGGCCCCGGGCGGGTCGCCGCCCCGCCCGCGCAAGGGCAAGCCTCCGGGGTCGCCCTCGAAGGTCGCCACAATCAAGGAGACGCAGATGAGGAGGGAAATCGGGCTTCGCGGCGACGTCTTCCACGACGCGCAAGCAGCCGCCCACGGTTGCGAAAGGCCCCTCGGGGCGCAACCGCCGCCCCCCCGCCCCCCCCTGCGCGCGCGCCCGTCTGGGGGGGGGGGGGGCGGTGGCGCGGGAATGAAAGGGGCGAAGGGGGTTGGCGCGCGCGCGCGCGGGGGGGCCAGCGGGGCCCGCGCGCGCGGGTGCGGCGCGGGCGCTCGGGCCCCCGCGAGGGCCTGCCGCGCGCGCCGCCCAACCAGATCGCCGCGCCGAAGGCGCGTCTCATCCGCGCCGCCGCCGCAGGCAAAGCGAAGCTGGAGCACCTGCTGCGCGCGAACAAGGGCAAGCCGGCAAACGCGCCCGAACGCCGCGGCCACTCGGACAAGCCGACCGCGCGCATGCACTGCAACGCGGGGCAGCCCAAGCCCCTGAGCGCCCGCCCTGGCACAAGGGGGTTCACGGTGCGCTGCCGCTCGAAGGGCTGCCAGAAATGGAACGGCCCCCGCATGAAGGCCACCCGCGTTCTCCGCCCGCGCCCGCTGGCCAGGACGCGCACTTCACGCAGGGGGGGGCAAACTGCCATTCTTCGAGCTGCTGCCCGGGGTGTCCCAGCCAAGGTCGCGCCCTCCTTTGTCGAGAACGTGTCCGACGAGGCTGTGGCGCGCACGTGCCGCGACTGGGGGACTGTGCTCGATGGGCGCGCGGCGCCCAGGCAGGACCGCATCTGCTGCGGACAGGGCGCCGCCGCCTTGGGCCCAGGGGCGCCGGGCGAAATCGAAGTCGACGAGACAGTGCTCCGCGCGCAGGAAGCGAATGACAACCAAGTCCAACGGCAAGGGTTCGTCGGGCTGATGAGGCGCGGGGGCCGCTCCAGCTTGCATTTGGCGAAGAGACCCGCTGCGGGCAGCATGTCGCCCCGCGCAGCGAAGACGGGGCGGGCGGCGCCGCCGCCGATGAGCAAGGCGGAGTGGGCCCAATTGCAGAAGGAGCGGGTGGGCAAAGGCAGTCAGGTGCACTCAGACAGCTCGCCCGCCCACGCTGCTATCAAGGAAGGCTGTCAAGGAAGGCGTCTACCACGATTCGGTGACGCACTCGGGCCGCCGCGGCGCCATCTACGCGGCAAAGCGGGCACGCGCGGTGACCGCGCAAGCCAAGGCGGGGAAACCCGCGAACTTGGAGTACGTCGCGCAGGGCGGCACGCAGGGGCTGGACGGTTGGCGGAGGTCTGCCAAAAACAGAACTCGCAGAATCTGGAAGCGTGCAACGAGGGGCGTGTCTCAAAAAGGTTGCGCGAGGCGCAGTGGTGGCATTGGCTCGGGGCGCGCGACCGCTGGGCGGCGGCCGGCGAGGTGATCTCCTACGCCACGCAGTGGTGGGGGGCACCGAGGGCATTGGGAACGCTTCGCCGCGGCGGACGTTGCCAGGCGCGCGGCTGGGATGGGGGCGGGGGCACGCTCGTGCCTGAATCGATGTCGCGGGGGTTGCGGCGACAGGCAAACAGTTGCCACCCGTTGTCGACAGGGGGCTGTGATGAGGAACGCAGATCGAGGGCGGCGAGAGAGGGGAGGGCAGGGGACGCCACCAGCGGGAACACGCACACGCAACACGAAACCCCCAAAACAACGCTGGAGGTAGATCTTGGGGTGGGGTCCAGCCTAGTAGTACTAGTGGTACTAGTAGTAGTAGTAGGAGTTGTAGTAGTAGTCGTCGTCGTCGTCGTCGTCGTCGTCGTCGTCGTCGAAGTAGTAGTAGCAGTAGCAGTAGCAGTAGCAGTAGCAGTAGCAGTAGTAGTAGCAACCAACTTTGTTTTAGTAGTAGTCGCAGTCGTAGTCGTAGTCGTAGTAGAAGTAGTAGTAGTAGTAACAAAGCTAGTAGTCGTGGAAGAAGTAGTACCAGTAGTAGCAGTAGCACAAGGTAGTAATAGTAGAAATAGTAGTAGTAGTAGTAGTAGTAGTAGTAGTAGTAGTAGTAGTAGTAGTAATACTAATAGTAGCCGTAGTAGTAGTAGTAGTAGTAGTAGTAGTAGTAGTAGTAGTAGTAGTCGTGGTCGTAGTAGTAGTAGTAGTCGTAGTAGTAGTAGTAGTAGTAGTAGTAGTAGTAGTAGTAGTAGTAGTAGTAGTAGTAGTAGTAGTAGTACTACTACTACTACTAGTAGTAGTAGTAGTAGTAGTAGTAGTAGTAGTAGTAGTAGTAGTAGTAGTAGTAGTAGTAGTAGTAGTAGTAGTAGTAGTAGTAGTAGTAGTAGTAGTGGTGTAGTAGCAGTAGTAGGCAGGTAGTAGTAGTAGTAGTAGTAGTAGTAGTAGTAGCCGCCGTAGTCGCAGTAGTAGTTGTAGTAGTAGTTGTAGTAGTAGTTGTAGTAGTAGTAGCAGAAGTAGTGGTAGAAGGAGTCGGAGTAGTAGCAGTAGTCGTAGTAATAGTATGGTTCTTGGTCGTAATAGTAAAAGTTGTAGCAGCCGTAGTAGCAAGGGTATTCGCAGTCGTAGTAAAAACAATTGTAGTGGTCGTCGTGGTAGTCATGGCAGTTACAGCAGTGGCAGTAGCAATACTAGAAATAGTAGTTGTAGTAGTAGAAATAATACTAAATGGTATTCTACTCCAAGGTATAGGCGTACACGAAGCCGTAGTAGTCGTAGTAGTAGCAGTACTAGCAGTCGTCGTAGTCGTAGTAGTAGTAATACTAGTAGTAGTAGTAGTAGTAGTAGTAGTAGTAGTAGTAGTAGAAAAAGTAATGTTACCAGTAGTCGTAATAGTAGCCGTAGTAGTGGTCGTAGTAGTAGTAGTAGTAGTGGTAGTAGTAGTAGTAGTAGTAGTAGCAGTCGTGTTCCTAGTCGTAGTAGTCGTAGTAGTAGTCGTCGTCACCGTAGTAGTCGCAGTCGTAGAAGTAGTAGTTTCCGGATCCGTAGTAATAGTAATAGTGGTCGTAGTTGTAGTAGTAGTAGTAGTAGAAGAAGAAGCCGTAGTCTGACGCAGCGGTAGTAGTAGCAGTAGTAGTAGTAGTCGTAGGTTTCGTAATGGGCATCGTACCTACAGTAGTAGTAGCAGTAGCAGTGGCAGTAGCAGTAGCAGTAATAGTAGTAGTAGTAGTAGTAGTAGTAGTAGTAGTCGTAGTAGTAGTAGTAGTAGTAGTAGTAGTAGTAGTAGTAGTAATCGTAACAATGATAGCAGTAGTAGCGGCAATCGTAGTATCAGTAGCAATAGTAGTAGTAATAATAAAAGTTGTAGCAGTATTACTAGTAATCGTAGTCGTAGTACTAACATTAGTAGTAGCGCTACTACTACTACCAGTACTGATACCAATAGTAGCAGTAGCAGTAGCAGTAGTCGTAGTAGTAACAGTAGTAGCAGTAGAAATACTAGTCGTAGTAGTAGTAGTAGTAGTAGTAGTAGTAGTTGTTGTTGTAGCAGCAGTCGTAGCAGTAGAATAGTCGTAGTAGTGGTAAGAGTGCATGTCGTAGAATAGTAGAAGTAGTAATAATGATAATGCGTACGACGAGAAATACTAATACTTGCTACCCTCCACCTCCTCCTCATCATTCCCTCCCCCTCCTCCTCCTCCTCCTCAGGAGTACTAGTGGTTATAGTAGTATTAAGAATATTAAGATTACCATTGAGAGTACTAGTACAAGTAACCATAGGTTTGCCCCCTCGTGCAATTCCTAAGGAAAAGGAGGAGCAGGGAGGAGGAGGATTAAGGACGAGTCCCATGCACCGACGAATGAAAATGGGAGGTCACCTCGAATCGGCAGAAATCGGCAGGTTTCGAAATCGGTGCCCAGCGGCCCGAGCCGAGGCCTGCACAACGAACCCCGCAACCGAAGTCGAAACCCTGAGTCCGACGGGGCCAAAACCGAAATCCTCGAGAGCGAACGGGTTCGCACCGACAGGGTGGAAATGGCTCCTGTCAGGAGGGAGCAGAGGAAGATGAAGGGGCCCTGGGGCATACAAATAAATAGATACAAATTACCCCAGTGCGACCCTACCTAGAAGTTGAAGCCCCTAGGAAAGCAGCATTAGTTGCTATGCTATGATATGCTATGTTAGCCTATGCCATGCCATGCCATGCCATGCCATGCCATGCCATGCTATGCTATGCTATGCTATGCTTCGCTATGCTATGCTATGATATGCTATGTGATATGTGCTATGTGCTATGATATGTGCTATGCTATGCTATGCTATATTATGCGATGCTGAGCTATGCTATGCTACGCTATGCTATGCTATACTGTGCTCTGCTATGCTAAAGCTCAGCGAAGCTAAGCTGAAGGTGAATTAAGCTAATATAAAACTGAAGTAAGATGAAGCTAAGCTAAGGTAAGACCACATAAGCTAAGCTAAGACGAGATAAGCAACGCGAAGCTAAATGAAGGTCACTGGGGGAACCGCGGGGCGGATGCCGGGGGAACCGCCCGGGGCGGGTTCCACTGCCCGGCCCTTTAAGCATAATAGTAAGAACCCTTCTAGGCAGAGCCTAGGTAGGGAATTATTTGAGTCTCAATATTTCCTCATATTTTCAAGGTTTTTGTCTCCCCCCCCACTTCTCATATTTTCCCATATTTCCTGGGGGGTCGACGATGAATTGTGTCTGTGTGTTTCTGTCCCTCCTGAGAAGAGGGGGATCGAGGGGGGGGGCAAGAGATGCACTCAGCGGTTCGAGGCTGGCGCCCCGAGTGTGGATTTGCCCTGTTTAAGGCTGCCGCCTCGGGGGCCCCTCAGGACCCCCTCTTTGCACCGCCGATCCGAGCCGTCGGCCTCCGCTCGCGCAGCGCCGCGGGCCGCCGGCCCGCCGCCGCCGAGTCGACGGCGGCCACCAGCGTGGCGGCGGGCCGCGGGGGCGGGTCCTGTGTGGGGGGCGAGGCTGCAGGACGGCACCGGGCCCGCACTGTGCTGCATCGCTGCGGAAGGCCCGGGGCGTAGGACGGCACCGCTGTGCAGATCGGTGCCCCCCCGCGGGCCCGCGGTTGTATCGCTGCGGGACGGGTGGGATGGGGTGGGATGGGGTAGCGACGTGGATGGGGTAGCGTCGGATGGGGCAGCGATGGTGGGATGGGGTAGCGAGGTGGGGTGGGGTAGCGTCGGAGAGGTGGTGGGATGGGGTAGCGATGGTGGGATGGGGTAGCGAGGTGGGAAGGGGAGGGATGGGGTACGGTCGGTCTGGGTGGGATGGGGTAGCGAAGTGGATCTGCACAGCGGGGCGGTGTATCGCTGCAGGACGGCACCGGGCCCCGCATGGCAGGAGTAGGTACTGGGGGCCCGGCTGCTCCGAGGTGTATGCAGCTTCGTTTTTTGGCGGCTGCGCATGGCACGATGGGGTGCGTTTCGGACTTCTGGTTCCGCTGTGGCACGCGACGGCGGGCACGTCGCAGTTCCGCGCAGTGGGGAGGGCTGGGTGGGAGGGGTGAGGTGTCAGGTATGGCGCGAACACACCTGGCTCTGGGAGTGCAGGATCGGGCCGTGCTTCGCGGTTCGCGAGAAGGGGGATCGCTTGAGGGGGTGGGGGTCGGTGGGCGGGAGGAGGGTCAGAACGGGCCCTCGGACGGGGTGGAGGGGGGGGAGAGAGTGGTGCGCATCAGACGACCTGGAGTACCTGGGGCACACCGTATTATGGAGCGCCGGAGCTGCTCTGGCCACGGCAAGCCTTGGCCACGAAGAGGCTTCCCGACCCGGATCTGAGGAATGGCCCGAAAGACCATAGCCCTCTTGGCCCAAGGGTGGTCCTATGTTCAGCGCCTTCCCTGTACTCCGAGTTGTTCAATTTAGCGCGTGTGGGGAGGGGGGGATCGCGTGGGGGTGAAGGAATGGGCCGTCCTTCGCGTTCGCGGTGCGCAGGGGCTTGGATCGCTTGAGGGGGTGGGGGGGGTCTACGGGCGTGGAGTGGGCCCGTTTCACTTGAGGGGGTTGGTTCGGTGGGCGTGGGGGGCCAGAACGGGCCATCGGACGGGGTGGCATGGGGGAGTACTTCTTAAACAACTGGGAGTATCCTCGCCACTCTCTGCCCGACATTCCTTGCCACTTCACATCTCCTTGCAGCGGGCACGGGTTGTGGCGCCCCCGGTGCTGTCCGCAGCAGGGCCCGCATGCCGACGCCGAACAAGGCCTGCTCCGAATTCTCGCCCAAAGGCCACGTCCGAGCTGCCAGCTTTGGCCAACAATTTAGCATATACCCTTCCCAGGCGCAACACAGAGCGCACTCCGTTTCGAGCGAGCAAGCGATCATTCAGACTTCGACGCGGCGCCAGGCCCACTGGTTATCCCAAAAACTGCCTGGAGACGGGAGCCCTGCAAATGTGCCACCCCATGGCGCAGAAAGGAACATGCGCGCTGCATGCATGAGACTCTTGAAAACGGCGATTCGCGCCCGAATCCCAGTCGTCAGAACCGATGACCGGGCGTTGTGACGGGCGTTTTTGCAGAAATGATGCCCTCATTCGATTTGCACGGAAGAAGCTGGTCCTGAAGGAGACGGGTCCTGGGTCCTGGGCCCCGGAGCCTTCATGGTTGTTCTTGACGGCCCCTAGAAACGAGGGACAATACATTCCATAAATAAAAAGTTTCGGAGGTCCGCGCTGATGACTTGGATCGGCGCTGGACTCCCCCACCCTGGCTCGCGGAGCGCGCTAGGGGCAGAACCAGAGGCGCCGCCGGGAGCCCGAACGCAAATCCCAGAAATCCGCGCGGACCTCTGAACAATCACACTTATGTCATTGAGTGCGATAAAAACGATAACGGCGAACGGCACAAAGACCCCTCTCCACAAAGACCCCATTGCTTCAGTCGGGGCCACGTATATAAGACCCGGGTTTGGCGAATCCGGGTTGGCCTGACAAACCGCCAAGAAAATGAGGAGACCCATCCTAAAACCTGACGCAAGCTATTGTTGCAGACGCCCCACGAACACCCGATCGTCAAGTTCAGAACGAACCCCTGAAAAAGCGCCGGCCGATCCGACTTCTGGCAATCTCGAGTCTTCGGTTTCCCCGGCGGAGGACCCCGCTGCGTCATCCCGATGTGGGTCGCCCGAACCATGCTGTCGTCAAGAGGGGGCGAGCGGCGAGAGGAGAGCGCCCACCACCTCGGGGGCTGCGGCGACAGATTGCGGAACGAGGCGCGCAGAGAGCCGCCGTCCCACCAGCGCGGCGAACATGTCCCGGCGCCGAACGAGGGGGAAAGTGAGAAGCAAAAAGCCCTCTCACAAGGCGGCGAGGCTTCTTCGAAGCTCTCGCGCCTTCTGAACAAATGTCTGCACTTTCGGGGAAAACTTGTAAAACTTCTCATCCGGCCAGGGGATTGCCGAGCCTTCTCAAACGGCTCGCCCCTCGTCGGTTCCGGACGTAGCGCACGCCACTGTACTCCGACGACGGATCTGATTGCGCATCTCGCTCGCTCGTGTCCGTTTTACCCATCTCCAAAAAGGCGCGTGCGGTGGCTATCTGCTGGCCAGCCAGTCGGGCGGGAGAACAATAGCGTAAGAACTCAAAGCCCGGCCTGGGCCGAAGCTGCAATGGGCGGGCCCGGGCGGTCAGAGCAGCGCGGGCACGGGCAAGACTGATAGGTTGGGGGTACGGAGGAAGAGGAGGAGGAGGAGGAGGAAGAGGAGGCATTACGGGCTCAGGGAATTGCTTTTGGGGAATATCCGAATCAATGGTTCTGTGTTGTAGCCTCTGACTCCTCTGCATGTCGAAAGTATTCAGATCTGACTCAAGCGGCGATCCACTCTCTCAGTTCTCGATGCGTTTCTGACTTGTCAAGCTTCACTGTTTTCCTCGCGGTTCGTTATGGTCTCTGCTCCTCCTTAATATTGACGGATGCGCTGTCCTGTTGCGTGGTCAGTCGGCAACGTAGATAATGTAAGAGCCACTCCACATCCACTCCCTCCTTGGTTCGGATGACGGATCGGTTCCGCATGCCATCGCCCCACCTAAACGTGGTGCTGGACTACCGCAGCGCCTCCTTCAACAGAAGTCATTATATCGCCATCCGCTTGTCTCTACTCGAAAAGGCACCCCCCTTGGTAAGAACACCGACCAGTGACCTTACACCGGTCAAGAAACCCGGCTCCTCTTGCTCACGACTTCCCACCACTTCCTCGCATCCAGTTTATGGCTGGACGCTTCCTCTCGCAAAACACAGAGCCGCTTTCCTGCTGCGAATGAATCCGCCAGATGCGACGCCTCAGCAGCCAGGGTACCCCTGCAAATTGTCGTGTCGACTTCGAGCAGTAGTCATTCATGGCGGCCTTCACGATCTTGACTGTCGGCACATCGCATTCCGCTCTGAACAACAGATGGCCTCCGATACCCTTGTACTTCGCTATGTCGTCACTCTCTGGACCCCCGTTGGCGCGTTCAGAACCGCACGCGGTCAGGGCCGCTGCCTTCTCTAAGTCAATGCCTGTCGGGCAACTCTGCATGTGCTGCGCTTTTGTTAAAATCGCTGATGGTCCTGTTGATATTGGCCAAGTCTGCGATGCGCGGGGCCACTGCGGCTCGTTATGCTTGTCCAAAATGAAGCACCCAATCATCCCGGAATTGTCGGGATAACCAACATATCTCCCCGTGGCCATTCTCAGAGACATCGCGTGCGCGTGGTGAAGGGACTGGCCGCGCCCCCTTTTCTCTTTCTTGGGATTGTCGCCCCCATCGCGTTCTGCGGGTAGCGCTTCATGGTTTCTCCAATGTCTCCGTCAGGCAATATTTGAATGTCGCGCCCGCGGGATATGAAATCCCCCTTCAAATGCGTTGAACAGATGAGCTTCCCGCTCGCGCACTCGAAGGCCGTCTTTTCCACTCGCGCAAGAACTCCCGCCAACAAATCGCCCGCGCGCGCGGACTCCCCTCCAGGAATACCACGTCATCAGGTGCAAACGTACTTCCAACACTGACTGCGCCCATCCGTCCTTCGCCCGTCCGCCCTTCTCCAAAACTTCACAATAAACCCGGCCGGCAAAAGCGGGCGGCCTGCGCGAATCCATGGGTCGCCTTCGCGGCCCTCAGCAGTTGCCGCGGGCGTAGTCCTTCCAGACTTTTTACGTGGTCGGATGATGTATATGTTGCGACCAACGCTACGACATGAGAAATGCGCGTCCGTGATGTCGCCGCAACTGATGAGCACGTTGGTGATCGCCGTCGGGAGCAGGGCCATCGCCTCCACGAGATTCGAAGCCACTGGCACATTCCCCCCGGTGCTCTCCTAGGCCCTTCCCCTTGAAACCTTGGACCAGCATCCTCGGCCTCGCCGCTAACTCGCCGTTCGCGGTAACTCCTTTCTTGTTGGTCCTCGCGCGCTGGGCCAGGATAATCAGCTTGCGTTGTATGTTGACAAAATTGTCTTGCCCTCTCCGCATGCCGCGGCTTCGCTGGCCTCGAGGTCCCGTGAAAAACTGGCGCCTGTCATTGTCGAGCTCCCTCAAGTGCAGCTCCTTCCGGCCCGTCTGGGCGGTCGGCTTCCCCGCCCGGCACGACTGCTCGAACTCGTCCTTCTCGGTTCCGAAAGCGAAGGTCGGCTCGGTGATACCGCGCTCGACGGAATAGGATGGGTTACTGTCGTTGCTCACGCGCGCTGCCCCCAGCGGCGAGTCGCCGTCGTCGTAGACGCGGACGACGTCCTCTCGGCGAATGGAAGCAAAGGCGTCGTCTAACAACTTCTGTCTCTGTGATTCTCTTTCCGCGCACTCATCCGCTGGCCTCGCCAGTCTATGGGCGCCACCTGCAATCGGCGGAGCCGTGCCTTCAACTGCAGGTTCATGATCATCTTGAAGACCGAGATCCCAAGCATATCCGATAGGGACATCCTTGTGGCTGGGCCACACGAAACCCTTCGCTGGTTCAGCCGTCGACCCCGC